TTGAGGTCTAGAAGACGTAAAAGGTAGTGAAAGAGGACTGTCCAGATAACACTCAACCGCAACTTAATAATGGAGAAATTTATTAAGAATCTGACAGATAAAACAACCAGTGCAACTAATAGGACTCTAAGGATAAAAAATAAAGAAGAAATTATTATTAACGATATTGAAAATCAAGTACAAAATTGGAACATACCCAAAGTTCCAATATCAGACGTTTATAAGAAAGGCACATTCGATCTAAAAATCGGATATGCTATCAAAACAGTAGAACAGACTCTATCTGTTACAAGTAATCAAGAAGATTTCCAATTATTATCTCAAAAAATATTACAAGTCCTTTAAACAAAAAACTATAAATATTTACATATAGGATTAATCCAAATAGCTGTGAAACCCTTAACTCGTCTAGGATTAAATAATTCTATCTTAGTATGCTTACGAGATACTAGGCATAACAGATTTTCTGATTCGTTACTAGGGATGGTCGAATCTAGTTTATGTAGTGGACCAATATATTTCAATTGTTTTCCAAATTATTTTGTATTTCTTACGGATCCAAATATATTAAATGTTTTATCTTTAAATCTAAAAATTCAAGGATTTAATATGATGTTAGGTTCTCAAAACGTAGCCATCATTTATCGTATTTATTATAAAGTTATGAATACGTTATGTCCAAATGTACTTCAAATAGATACCAGAGGACAAACACTATTTTTCCAAACCAATATGGAAAAATCCAATACGATTATACCAAAAACAATATCATGGTTAGATATTATCTTACCACAAACATGGTCCATCCATAATGAAAATCAACCATCACAAACATCTATCTAAAACATTCCAGATAAAATTATTGAATATACAGATGGAAATATTGAAATCCAATTCACAAATAATAGAATTTTGCAACCAATGGATAATTCATCCATCTTCGGTACTTCAAGTACTTATTCTTTCCGAAAATCAAAACCAGAACCAGCGAGAAAATCTGTTACTACTTACAATAGAATTCTTCCCATCATAACTATTCCATCAACACCAATAAAACCACAAATTGATGGACTATTAAGAACATATGATAATATCATTATCCCTCAATATAAACAGGCTCAGGAAGAACGTGATGAAGCAGAATTCATTCAAGTACTACAACTTGAAGAAAAATTGGATAAAGAATTTATCATAAATGATTATTTATCCCACGAAAATAAAAATATCTGAGAATGGTATGTAGAAACTTTTGATCCTAAATTACTATCTTTGTTTCATAAAAGATTCAACAAATGGAGAAAACAAGGAAATAAAGGAACATGTTTTTTTGATTGGTTAAAAGACATCCTACACCAAAAACAAATTCTTATTCCTGATTTTGAAATAAATACACTAGAAACCCAGTATACATTATTCAATACTACTGAAGGAAACACAATCAAAGCCATACATCCTCCTGAACAAAGTCTGAAAATACAAGGAATAGCTGATACAGTCACTACAGGATCCGCCACTATAGGATCAAACATAGAACATAATATAGGATCCTCAACCCAAATGATTGTATACGAAACAATAGCTACACCATACAAACTAAATAACGCAAATTTATCTCGTATGGAATTACTCCCACACATAATTGAACAAAACAATTATACGAATATCTATCTTCACACTATTGGACAACAAACTATTAGAATAGAAAACTTATTACATCCTCCCACCTATAAGGAAAAGAAATAATTATTCTTTAAACCTCCTCCTGAATTAAACAAAGAAAAATTTCATATAGGTGATGATAATAAAACACTAATGGATCAATTAATTTCCAAATTATCCAACTTAGAAATAAAAGGTCCCAAACCTAAAGAAAATATTGTTATACCAGACAACGATAGAGGAAAAACAAAAATCCCGGAACATGATAATATGACTCTTCAGGAAGAAATAATGTTCCAAGAAAATGGAAATATTGAATCGCCAATCGCCAACACAATAACAAATATACAAAAAGCATTT